AGACTGAGGTCGCAGCAAAATTGACACTGCCAAGATATTTATGATCCATTTGGGAACAACTAACCAATTGGCAGGAACAACCCCTCCTTTATTGTCTTCAGGCCTTGGGGAGGCTGAGCCCCACATATCAGAGGCCTACATCTACACTTCCGGTTGTCCCTCTGCTTTCCTCCAGGGAAGCCTGCTCTGTACTGCTGAATTAGAGCAAACGTCAATTGGGTTTTCTCCAGATTGACGTTTGTTCCGCTGTAGTGCTAAAGAGCGGGTGGTCTGGGGGAAAGGCAAAAGCCATGGTCTCTAGGCAGCAGACAAGCAGGATGAGCCCCATAAGTAGATCAGAAAGGATACTCAGTGATAACTGGGCACAGTCTAATTTTTCGTGGAAGCTTTGTGCAAGCAAATCATGACAAAAGTTAAGAGGGATTCAAGAGTGGAGTCTATTCTGGCCTGGTTAGACCACACCTGGAGTCCTGTGTCCAGTTCTGGGCTTCCTGAATTTAAGAAGGATATTGACAAGCTGGAACGTGTGCAGAGGAGGGCGACCAAGATGATTGAGGGTCTGGAATCCATGCCATATGAGGAGCGGTTGAGGGAATTGGGTATGCTTAGCTCACCTCCTGGCAAATCGAAGGGGAAGAAATGGAGGCAGTGAGAGATTTTAGTTTCTTGGGCTCCATGATCACTGCAGATGGTGACAGCAGCCACGAAATTAAAAGACGGCTGCTTCTTGGGAGAAAAGCAATGACAAACCTGGACAGCATCTTAAAAAGCAGAGACATCACCTTGCCAACAAAGGTCCGTATAGTAAAAGCTCTGGTTTTCCCAGTAGTGATGTATGGAAGTGAGAGCTGGACCATAATGAAGGCTGATCGCCGAAGAATGGATGCTTTTGAATTCTGGTGCTGGAGGAGACTCTGGAGGGTCCCATGGACTGCAAGAAGATCAAATCTCTCCATTCTGAAGGAAATCAGCCCTGAGTGCTCACTGGAAGGACAGATCCTGAAGCTGAGGCTCCAAGACTTTGGCCACCTCAGGAGAAGAGAAGACTCCCTGGAAAAGACCCTGATGTTGGGAAAGATGGAGGGCACAAGGAGAAGGGGACGACAGAGGACGAGATGGTGGGACAGTGTTCTCAAAGCTACCAGCATGAGTTTGACCAAACTGCGGGAGGCAGTGGAAGACAGGAGTGCCTGGCGTGCTCTGGTCCAGGGGGTCACGAAGAGTCGGACACGACTAAACGACTAAACAACAAAGCTTGGAAAATAGGAGATTGAGAGGAGAGATGATAACCATCTTCTAATATCTGAGGCTCCCTCCCGAGCTAAAGGGTGAAAAGCAGGAAGATCATTAGGAAAGAAACTGAAAATAAAACTGCCGGGATCATTATGCCATTATACAAATCTGCAGTGCAGCCACCTTGGAAGTACAGTGGTACCTCGGTTCTCAAACTGAATCCGTTCTGCAAGTGCGTTCCAAAACCAAAGCGTTCCAAAGCCAAGGTGCGCTTTCCCATAGGAAGTAATGCAAAGCGGATTAATGCGTTCCAGACTTTTAAAAACAACCCCTAAAACAGCCATTTCACATGAATTCTACTATCTAACGAGACCATTGATCCATAAAATGAAAGCAATAATCAATGTAAAGGTAAAGGTAAAGGTACCCCTGACCATTAAGTCCAGTCGTGGCTGACTCTGGGGTTGCATCGCTCATCTAGTAGGGGCATGGGCCTGATCCAGCGGCCAGGCTCTTTCTTGAGTTCCTAATGGAGCCCAGTAGTGATGTATGGAAGTGAGAGCTGGACCATAAAGAAGGCTGATCGCCAAAGAATGGATGCTTTTGAATTCTGGTGCTGGGGGAGACTCTTGAGAGTCCCATGGACTGCAAGAAGATCAAACCTCTCCATTCTGAAGGAAATCAGCCCTGAGTGCTCCCTGGAAGGACAGATCCTGAAGCTGAGGCTCCAATACTTTGGCCGCCTCATGAGAAGAGAAGACTCCCTGGAAAAGACCCTGATGTTGGGAAAGATGGAGGGCACAAGGAGAAGGGGACGACAGAGGACGAGATGGTGGGACAGTGTTCTCGAAGCGACCAGCATGAGTTTGACCAAACTGCGGGAGGCAGTGGAAGACAGGAGTGCCTGGCGTGCTCTGGTCCAGGGGGTCACGAAGAGTCGGACACGACTAAACGACTAAACAACAAAGCTTGGAAAATAGGAGATTGAGAGGAGAGATGATAACCATCTTCTAATATCTGAAGGGCTGTCACATGGACTAGGGAGCAAGCTTGTTTTCTCCTGCTCTGGAGGGCAGGACTCGAACCCATGGCTTCAAGCTACAAGGAAGGAGGTTCTGACTAAGCATGAGAATGTTCTGACACCAAGAGCTGTTCAACAGAGGAACGTACTCGCTCGGGAACGTTGCGGACTCTCCTACCTCAGAGGTTTTTAAGCAGTAGTTGGATGGCCATCTGCCATGGATACTTTGGCTGAGAGATTCCTGCATTTCAGGGGGTTGGTCTAGATGACCCCAGGGGTCCCTTCCAACTCTACAATTCTATGATTCTATGAAAGCTCAATAGGCAATGGGAGGAGCCCCAGTCCTCGACAGCTGGTTGCCTGAATAATGCCAGCGCTTATTCGCTTGATGCGCAGGCAGAGGCTGGAGGAGATATAGGTAAAGGTAAAGGTACCCCTGCCCATACGGGCCAGTCTTGACAGACTCTGGGTTTGTGCGCCCATCTCACTCAAGAGGCCGGGGGCCAGCGCTGTCCGGAGACACTTCCGGGTCACGTGGCCAGCGTGACATCGCTGCATCTGGCGAGCCAGAGCCGCACACGGAAACGCCGTTTACCTTCCCGCCAGTAAGCGGTCCCTATTTATCTACTTGCACCCGGGGGTGCTTTCGAACTGCTAGGTGGGCAGGCGCTGGGACTGAGCAACGGGAGCGCACCCCGCCGCAGGGATTCGAACCGCCGACCTTTCGATCGGCAAGCCCTAGGCGCTGAGGCTTTTACCCACAGCGCCACCTGCGTCCCTGAGGAGATATATCTATGTATAAATATAGAAATACCAGGCTATGCTCCTGCTTGGTCCACTCGCTACCCACATTAGCCCCCGAAAACGTCCCCTTCCGTCTCCCCCGAGCAACTACTAAAATAAGAACAGCCTGCTAGATCAGGCCAAGGGACCATCTATAAGAACTTGTGGACTTTGGAAACTGTTTTTCCTGGGGGGACGGAATATCCAGAATGTTCCTTTATTTTTTGGTGGGGTTTTATTTCCTAGGCTTCAGACTCAGATGCTCAACATTCACTATCCTTACTTTTCCCGCCCCGCCCTGGCCACAGTGATCCATGCGACGGTCACCTCCAGGATTGACTACTGTAATTCGCTCTACGCGGGGCTGCCCTTGAAGCTGACCCACAAACTCCAGCGGGTGCAGAATGCCATGGCGAGGCTCCTCACGGGGTCTCTGCCATGGGAGCATATTCACCCAGTGCTTTTCAAGCTGTACTGGGTCCCGGTGGAGTACAGGGTCAGGTTCAAGGTGCTGGTTTTGACCTTTAAAGCCCTTCACGGCCTAGGACCCTCGTACCTATGGGCCTGCCTCTCCCGGTCTGCCCCACGGAGGACCTTAAGGTCCATAAATAGCAACACCCTCGAGGTCCCGGGCCCTCAGGAAGTCAGATTAGCCTCAACCAGAGCCAGGGCCTTCTCAGTGATGGCACCGGCTTGGTGGAATGCTCTATCACATGAGACCAGGGCACTTTAGATCTGATTTCTTTCCGCAGGGCCCGTAAGACAGAGTTGTTCCGCCTGGCCTTTGGCTTGGAATCAACTTGATCCCCTTCCCCTCTTTTCTTTTTGCTTCCTCCTTCTGTGATGGAACTGCTATTTGGGGACTTCCCTGGCTTTTTTCTGGCCCATGTAGGACCAGTCTGGATAATTGGCTTTGGTGGAGATTTGACGTTTTCAACCCCAAAAAGTTTTGATTTGAGTTTCCACTGAAATGAGGCTGCATTTTAATGTTGTATTTTAATCTTGTTTTTAAGTTGTATCTTAATCAATTGTTTTATATCTGGTGTCAGCTGCTCTGAGCCCGGTCTTGGCTGGAGAGGGCGGGGTATAAACAAAATTTATTATTTATTATTATCCATGCCACCTCAGGAAATAGGGATGTCTCACAGCGGCCAACCAGCTGCCTGCAGGAAACCAGCAAGCGTGACCCGAGTGCGAAAGCTGATTCCCCTCCTGCGGCTTGCAGCGAGTGGTGCTCAGAAGTATCGCACCGCCATTGTGGCTAGTACAAATCAATAGCCCAGAGGGATAGTGCAATCAGTAGAGCATGAGACTCTTCATATCAGGTCATGGGTTCGAATCCCACGTTGGGCAAAAGATTATTGCATTGCAGGGGGTTGGACTAGATGACCCCCTTGGTCCCTTCCAACTCTACAAATCTGCCATTCTGTGAGTTTGCATGATTCCCTTTCAAAGCCACCTAAACTGCGACCATCGCTGCCTCCTGTGGGAGGGAGTTCCAGAGATTAACTCAGCGCCACGTGAAGAAGGACTTTCTGTTCTGTGTCCTGAACCTTCCAACATCTGGGCTAGCTTACAGCATGAGACTCTTAAGAGGCAGCAACGGTTTTGAATCCGAGTTGCTGGAAGCCACAGGAGGGGAGACAGCTATTGTGGCCGGATCCTGCTTATGGGCTTCCCAGTATGGACTCTGGTTGGCCACTGGGAGAACAGGAGGCTGGACCAGTTGGGCCACTGTCCTGAAGCAACAGGCCCCTTCTTATGTTCTAATCCTGCAGCGGAGGCTGCGTGACGACAGCCTTACATTTTTATGTATATAGGAAGATATTATGCTTTCGCTGTAAAAACATGTTCCTTTTGATGCTGAGCCGCGCTGTGGATTTCGTGGCATTAAGGACTCGTAAATGTCTTACGCAGGCCAGTCTCCTGCAAAAAAGGGTCGTCGCGGGAGAGAGGACACATCATGAGGACGGGCAGCCGGCTGGGCGCGGAGAATCAAAACCAGAACGATCGCAGGAGCTTCAGCTGGGCGTTTGATGTGGAAATGTCTCGAAATAACTCTACGCCACGTGATCCTCCCATTGTCTCCAGCCAGACTTGCGCAGGAGAGGTTCCCGGTGGAAAACGGCAACATAATCCCAATGATTGACCCAAATGTGCTACTAGGGGCTGCATTCTGCACACATACCCCCCCCCCCCAATTTGCTGCAGCGACTGGTCCCAAGAACCGGGATGTCACCTGAACACCTGTATCAGCACACACCTTGCGAGGGGCTTCACGCGATGGGTTTTTGTGCCAAGGCAGGACCCCTTGAGCTGCTCAGGATTAAGAACAGAACGAGGAAGGGGGAGCGAAATCCCCGCCGGTGGGTCGGCGACCTCAAAAACTAGACCCTGCTGTCTCGTACACTCATCTTTTTTTCTGCTTCTCTGTGAAGTCATTCCTCAGGAATGTGCTGGGGCCAGTTTTCTTTCTTTCTTTCTCTCTCTTTTTTTCCAAAGTAATTATTCTCTTGAAAGAAAACACGTGTTCGCTAAATGCTCAGAAGCCAAAAGGGAGGGGAAAAGAAGTAGCAGGAGATTGGGGAAGGGCGGGAGGGAAGAACAGGCAGGGCTCCCCTTAGAATCACGGCTTCCTTTCGATTTGCTCTTTCTTCAGCCTTGATGATCCTAGAATTGAAGAGTTGTAGGGTGGCGCTGTGGGTTAAACCACTGAGCCTGGGACTTACCGATCAGAAGGTCGGTGGTTCGAATCCCTGCAATGGGGTGAGCTCCCGTTTCTCGGTCCTTGCTCCTGCCAACCTAGCAGTGCGAAAGCATGTCAAAGTGCAAGTAGATTAATAGGTACCGCTCCGGCAGGATGTAAACGGTGTTTCCGTGCGCTGCTCTGGTTTGCCAGAAGCGGCTTAGTCATGCCGGCCACATGACCTGTATGCCGGCTCCCTCGGCCAATAAAGTGAGATGAGCACCACAACCCCAGAGTCGGCCACGACTGGACTGGTCAGGGGTCCCCTTTACCTTTAAGGGAACCCTGAGGGTCATCTAGTCCATGCAGCGGTCACAGATCAAGGGGACCCTGACGGACAGCCGTCCAACCTCTCTTTGAACAACCTCCAGTTTTATCATATGCAGTGGAATTGTAAGGTAGCAAAAGGATTTTGGGAAATGATATATAATGAGTTGAAAAAAATGTTTAAAATAACCTTTGCTTTAAAACCCCCCCGAAGCCTTCCTTTTAGGAATTTTAGGTGCCGAAATCCCAAGCGACCGCTTCTCCTGGTATGCCCTGCAGAGGACTTTAAGGTCTACAAATGACAACACTTTGGAGGTCCCAGGTCACAAGGTGGTTAGATTGGTCTCAACTAGGGCCAGGGCCTTTTCAGCACTGGCCCCGACTTGTTGGAACGCTCTGTCCCAAGAGACCAGGGCCCTGCGGGACTTGACATCTTTCCGCAGGGCCTGCAAGATGGAGCTGTTCCGCCTGGCCTTTGGTTTGGACTCAGTCTGACCCTTATGTTTCCCTCCCCTTACGGTTTTGATCTATGGGCTACTTTTACAATGAGGCTGCATTCGAACCCATGGCTTCAAGTTGCAAGAAAGGAGATTCGGACTAAAAATTTGAAAAAACTCTGGTGGACTCTCCTTCCTCGGAGGTTTCTAAGCAGAGCTTGAGTGGCTATCTGTCATGGATGCTTTACTTGAGATTCCAGCATTGCAGCGGGTTGGTCTAGATGACCCCAGGGTTCCCTTCCAACTCTACTATTTTATGATTCTGTGTTAATACACTTCCATAACAGAAACTAATTCTGGAAATTCAAGCTGATACTCAGCTTTCCAATTTGTGGAAGGCCTGTGAACTTTGTCCCATCTCTGATTTCATTCCTGCCTCCCAAATCAGATATGGCTAATGTTAATTTTTTTGCAGAGGGTTTTGTTTCTCATCAGATTGCTCCTCCCTGTTTTTATTTTTATTTTTTTTAAAAAAAGCTTTCCTACTTGATAAATTTCAACATTTTATTCCCCACTAGAACCACTCAGGTTCCCGTGCTGAAGGCCCACATCACAACAAACGGAAGCGTCGCTGACGAAACTCACAATCTCCTCTTGGGAGAACCGTTACAAGGGAACCTAATGAAATTCAGTTACGGGGGAATCGAGGAAGTCACGTAATAATGGAATTTAAAATGAATATAAGAAAGAATATGTCTTTTTGTTTTTATTTTTCTTGTAGTATTGTAGTGTATGTTTTGTTTTGCATGTTTTATTTGTTATAGATGTAAAAAATCAATAATTTTTCGGGGGGGGGAAGAAAAAAAAATAAACTTACAATCTCTTGTTTTAAAACAGAATCTCTTTCGGAAGTTCTAATATGGGACTCTTTCAACCACTGTTCCCCACTTGTTGAAAATAAATAAATGGGAAGAATTGTGGATTTTTGTGCCCGTTTCAACTTCTGCTTTGGGATCTGAAGGCTCGAAAAGAAATAAAATTCAGACCACCACCCAGAGCCAGATTCATTTTTAGGCTTGTGATAGGAATTTTGAAGTCTTAGATATATGGTAATGTTCATAACCGCACGTACGTAGATCAGCACAGGAAGACCGACCTGAAGCCATTTTGATTCCTAAACTGAGCAAATGTTTTCTCTGCAAGGTCAAAGTGGAAAAGCCTCCCCATTGTCTTTTCCTTCACAAATCCTGTCTTAAGGGTATGTCTGTGTTTGAATAGGGTGTGAGCCTGTGACCTGGCCCAGGAACTAAATATTTATCACTACAAAAGAATGGCCAGGCACCCCAGGCAATCCAATCAAGTAAGCATTAGTAGGTAACCTGCCAGACAGGAGATAAACAACGACAGGAGAAAAACAATATTCAAATTTCTGTTTTAGATCGCCTTTTCTGTGATGTAGGTGTGATGTATCTGAGGGGTGGTCTTAGGTTACACCCCTTCTGTGATGTATGTATGATGTTTCTGGGGGTGGTCTTGATCTGCAGGGTGGCAATTTCAAAAGCTTTTATAAGGCCTTGCACACCATTTTTTCTGTGACCTTCCTCTCTCCTACAAGTGAGGGGAGCACCCTGTTGCAACAGATCAATAAAGGCCAAGCCTACAGGCTGCTGTTTTGCTCCAAGTAATCCTGGTTGGTGTCTTTGTTTTTGTCCAAGGGAGCCCTCGGATTTTTCCGTTAACAGGCTTAAAAAAGAAAAGAAAACGAGGGAGACGAGCAGGGAAACGAGACTCTTTCCAAACATCGCATATTTTCATGAGCCTCGGAGAAAAGAGTCGAGGTTTTTCAGCGCTTCCTGCAAGCTCTGAGAACTTTGGAGCGTGACTTACCAGCTCTTTTTCCTTTTGACCAAAGTTAGAAAAGGTTTTTCCTCCCACCCCACAGCTCCCGCCCCACAACCAATATTCCATCCACCAGGATTTCGACTAAATCCCCCAAAAGCATGCTTTGCCTTTTAAAGGCAGGGCTGGGAGAAGGCGACCCACGGTCAGATTACTCACTCTCTGCCCTAGTGTCATGGGAACCAAAATCTCAGCCGCTGTCTCTCCCTGCCCCCCCCCCGTCCCTTTGGGGGTTCACACAAGTGCAGCGACGGAGCAGGCCCAGGCCTGGCCAGGAAACCTGTACCAATTGTTCCAAAAGGTGTGGTGCAATAAAGGACGAAGGTGCTTCTGAGATCGTGCAGAGTGCTTTCTCTCCAGCTGAGGAGAGAGGTCATGAGAGGAGAGACGAAGAAAAAAGCAAATAAAGGTAAAGGTACCCCTTCCCGTACGGGCCAGTCTTGACAGACTCTGGGGTTGTGCGCCCATCTCACTCTAGAGGCCAGGGGCCAGCGCTGTCCGGAGACACTTCCGGGTCACGTGGCCAGCGTGACATCGCTGCTCTGGCGAGCCAGAGCCGCACACGGAAACGCCGTTTACCTTCCCGCTGGTAAGCGGTCCCTATTTATCTACTTGCACCCGAGGGTGCTTTCAAACTGCTAGGTTGGCAGGCGCTGGGACCGAACAACGGGAGCTCACCCCGCCGCGGGGATTCGAACCGCCGACTTTTCGATCGGCAAGCCCTAGGCGCTGAGGCTTTTACCCACAGCGCCACCCGGGTCCCCTAAAAAAAAAAAAGCAAATACACGGACTCAAAACACAACGTTTTATATTCTATCAACCTCCTGGTTTAATCTTCGATTCACAGAGATCTTCCCACCTGGGAGAGGTCCCATCTTTCTCAGTCTCATACCCTGAGAAAAAAACACTCCATTCTGTCTCTGACAGGTCTCTTCATCCATTCCATCTGAATGTTTTCGATGATGTATTGTCAAAACAATTGAGCTCTTTTATATGATCTTGGCAGCTTGGATGGTAATTTCAACTCAATGGGAAACAGAAGAAAAGGCCAAGCAGCAAAGGGATGTTTTAGTCGAGATTCCTGCATTGAAGGGGGTTGGTCTGGATGACCTTTGGGGTCCCTTGCAACTCTGTGATTATATGATCCAGACAGGTGTTCTCTGGCCCAGCCCTACCTGGAGATGCCAGGATTCGAACCTGGAACCATTGGCACGCAAAGCAGATTCTCTACCACTGAGCTGTGGCCGCTGCCTCAAGGCACCTGATGGCAGGGCCGGTCCTGGCTCTGATCCTTATCTTGGCATCCATGTATGGCTTGCTTTCGCACCAGTGATCTTCGCATTGCAGCAGGTTGGGCTGGATGACCGCTGGCTATCCCTTTGTTGTTGTTGTTGTGTAGTCGTTTAGTCATGTCCGCCTCTTCGTGACCCCCTGGACCAGAGCACGCCAGGCCCTCCTGTCTTCCACTGCCTCCCGCAGTTTGGTCAAACTCATGCTGGTCGCTTCGAGAACACTGTCCCACCATCTCGTCCTCTGTCGTCCCCTACTCCTTGTGCCCTCCATCTTTCCCAGCATCAGGGTCTTTTCCAGGGAGTCTTCTCTTCTCATGAGGTGGCCAAAGTCTTGGAGCCTCAGCTTCAGGATCTGTCCTTCCAGTGAGCACTCAGGGCTGGTTTCCTTCCGAATGGAGAGGTCTGATCTTCTTGCAGTCCATGGGACTCTCAAGAGTCTCCTCCAACACCAGAATTCAAAAGCATCCAT